CCCCTAGAGCCGGGTGGGCTCCCGGTGAGTTGTGGGTGGAGAGGGACAAGGAGGGAAATTCATCTTTTGAGGATTTGAAGGGCCGGTTCGGGAGGGGATTTGATATCGAGTTGGAGAGTCAGATGTCTGTCCTGCTGCCTAGGAGCAGACAAGTCCGAGAGGGTGCCTGTGGTCCCGCTCCTCTCTTTTTGCTGTCTCTTAGAGCCCTTCAAATTGCCTCTTGTGTTAATGTCCGTTTGCCTTTAAAACAAACACATGGCTGTGCATGGACTGAGAAGGGATCTTATCAATACTGGGAGGGGGGGTGTCAGGAGGATGGGGCCAGTCTCTTTTCAGTGGTGCCCAGTGACAGGGCAAGAGGTAACGGGCACAGACTTGAACATAGGAAGTTCCATCTGAACATGAAGAGAAACTTCTTTACCTTAAGGTTGATAGAGCCCTGGCCCAGGCTGCCCAGAGAGGGTGTGGAGGCTCCTGCTCTGGAGACTTTCAAACTCCACTTGGACACATTCCTCTGTGGCTGGCCTGGGTGACCCTGCTCTGGCAGAGGGTTGGACCAGATGATCTCCAGAAGTCCCTTCTGACACCGAACAGTCTGTGACTTCCTCTTATCTTTTCCTTTTTTTTTAAACAGTATTTAACCAGACGCATCCCTCAGAATCCCAAATACCAGCACATAAAAGCCCGCCTCGATACTGGTAAGTGAAACTGTCATGGGACAGGGACACCAAACGTGGATGTAGGAGTGTCAAAAAATATGCTGAATGTCTTAACTGCCTCATCCTGAGCTACTTTACCTCTGCAGCTCTGCTGGAACTTGCATCGTGATTGTTATTTTTCTCACCAGAGGATGATTGTGGTTTGTCTCACCAGAGGATGTCAGGCTCTTTTGTGACAGATCCCATAGAAATTACTGCTCTTAGAGTTTCTGTATGTGGCTTTTCTTGTATAAACTAACATCTTGGCAAGGGTGTGAGTCAAGGTAATGATTCAGGGGCTGTCTTTAGGGGATTTTTGTTGTTCAAATGGTTGAATTTTATCCAGCAACACCTGCCTATAACATTGAGGAAGGGACAGTGTGGCCACAGGTGTGACTGAAGCCACGTGTCGGAGGCAGAATTTGAATACCAAGGTCCTATTTTAGCTCTGTTAGAGGGCTGTAACACTGAGTTTTAGGTAGAGACTTTCTGAAGGTGATGACTTTGTTCTCCAAAGCATCGTCAAAACAACCTTTCTGACTAGAGACAGCTTGGTGTGGAAATTGTAAACAGGAAGAGTGCTGCAAGGCTGGAGGTTTTTTTAATATCATCATTCTGACTAGCAGAGGCTACATTCTTTTCTAGCTTTTACTGACAATCCTGTAAAATAAAACTCAGGTGCGTTCTGTAGACTAAAGCTGGGAGCCTACACAGATTTGAGCTCCTGATCATGATCAGTGACTCCAGTACAGAGGCTTTAACCTACAGAACGCTGCCTGTGCCCAGAGGCAGTTGGCAAACGGAGCGCAGCAAGTTCTTCACTGACTTGACCATTTATCTCAGCCTTCCTCACCACAGAAAGGCGCCGAGAGGAAAAATGTGGTATTTTTGATTTATGGCTGCCTCGTATTGTCATGGTGAAAGAGGATCTAGAACAGGCTTTGTTATTGTGGTCTAATCTTTATATTCAAAAACAAAATTAAGACTTAGTAGCGCTGAAGAAAATCACTAATAAAAAAATAGTAAGAAACTGATTTTTTTTTTTTTTTTTCCATTACAGGAAACAGTTTAACTAAATACACTGAGAAGTTAGAAGAGATCAAAAGAAGTGAGTATCCAGGGAGGAGCAGTGGGTAACTTGTGGTGGGTTAGTTCAAAACTGAAAGAGCATCGAGGAGCTGGGTTGGATCCCAGACCCTCCCTTTGCTTGGAAATCTCCACTCTCACGATTCCCAAAAAACATTTTCAGGATTGAACTGTAAAAATGCAGCACTAGGATAACATAAAGATGCTTCTACCTTGATTCTTTGCCGGACACATTGTTTGTCCCACACCTTATTTCTCTGTCTCTCACAGTGCTTTGCAGATTTAACTTAAGAAACCAGGCAAGCAGGTCTGGGAATCTTTCCAGATCTTTTTTTTTGGTGCAATTTTTGGAAACCAGACAGGAAGAAGCTCTCCAGACTGAGAAAATTAGACTAAGACTAGTCTGGGAAGACTCAGTCAATGCTTCTGAGAATTTATTTCACTTTTAGGTGACAAAATGATAGAACTTGACATCTTTTGTGTAATTGTAGTGGACTTAGAATCTTATTAGAATACTCCAAGGCAGGAAAGAGATGACGTCATTCCTGTGTAGCTCATTGATTTTACCAGAATAACATTTTTTTACCAGAACAGCCTTGATGTTTTGAAGACTTTGGATTGTTCAGGCTAAGAAGCCTAACTGATTTTTATTTCAGCCTCTTTTCCCACTGAAAATAGGCTTTTATAAAAAACTCTTACTAATAAATCGAATATTTCACTGCTACATTTTCCCACCACTGTCCAGATTATTTTCACATAGAGAGCCAGGAAAGCTTAATAAACCCAAAAGCTGCGTTTATTGATGTGAAACAAAGCCCTTCCCATTAACAGGAGGTAATTAGGATTTTGAATGTTCCGTTTTAGTTCTTAGACCCATTTACCGCGTTCCTCCTAGTGTCTGTGTTATAAGGGGGGCTGCTAATCTGTCCCGTTGAATATATTTGTGCTCAACTTCATGCAAAAAGCTCCTTTGTTTCCAGTTTGTTTGTTGGTTTGTGGGGTGTTTTTTTTTCCCAGACATCCGCGGGTCTTTGGGGAAAACCAGAAGAGAAATGACCTTGCTTTCTCGAATCCTGTGTTGACTGGCTAAGGTTTCACGCGGGATCGCCGTCGCTTTGTATCTGCGCTGAAAATCTTGTTGTGTGGGTCTAGTTGGTTTTCAACCTCGGCCGCGAATCTGATCTCGTTTCGTGTGGGACTTCTTTTGTTTCGCTGAGGTTCTGGAGCCCGGTAGAAACTTCCTCATTATGTCTGCGTTGAATAGACACCTTGTGTTCCCAGGCAGTTTAGAAACTTCTCCCTGCTTGATTTCTCATGGATAGATGACACCGTTTGGACACGACTTTAAATACCCGGTACAGGCAACTCTCTGTCTCTTGTGTAATGTGAGAGAGTGGGACTTAATACCACGAGCCCGCTGCGGAATCAAAAATGATAAGAGAGCTGGAAGCCCGATGATCTGTCCTTTGGAGGATTGACTTGAGGAGAGACACCACGTCCCTTCCCTTTCTCGGGCGTCGCTTCACTCGTTCCCGAAGCCCCGAGGAGCACCTCTTTGAATACACAACAATTACAGCTTTAGATTGGTTTTCTGAAGCAAAAAATAAAAATGTCTGAAAATCCAGATGGACCTACCAGGACAGAACCGGGTACGTCGTGTTGCTTCTGTCGTCGGAAGCCACTTCTGAACTTTCCGATAATTGCCGGGAGGCTCGCACGGGCAGTTCAGATTGGTTTGCTCCAGGTCAGGCTTTGTAATAATGACGGTTTGGTTTGTTTTTTTTTTCTTGTTGATAGAAATAATTTTGGGTGGTACAGGCAAGATCTAGGTCGTAAAGGTTTGTTCTGGGGTAAATAATCCTTGCTTGAGGCAGGTGGAAACCATCCAGCGGCTGTTTTGTGTGAGCCCTGTGACGATGGTTCTGCTCTGTCTGTGTTTATGTGCACGCAGCGCTTCATAAGCTTTGTTGCTTTTATTTTTCCTTCAAAATCGAGTTTATTTCTGCTCTTTGCACGACTGAAGGGCTCTTTTTGGCCGTGGCTGAGGAGTTTTAATCCTTTGGATGTGGGTTTTGTGTTGGGGAGATGAAATGGGCCGTATAAAAACTAATTGCTGCTGTTATTTTCGAGTTAAAGGGAGGCTTTAGCAACCTGAGCACGTGACTTGAAACCAGGTGGTTTTGCAAAGGGTCCTTTTCAGTTAATTGACCTTCTGAAATGTAGTTTATGCACAGGTCTCGTTCCTCAGACTCGTGGTTTGAAGCGCGTCGTGCACGTTGTGGTGCACTGGGGCGTTTCGGGTGGGCTCCCTTTTTCTAACCTTGGAGCCCTCCCCCCCTTCTGCCCCGTCTTCTCTTGCTTAAGCTGGTGGAGCGCTCAGCAGATGGTTTTAGAGGATTTGCAATTGCTTAACTGGCTGGATTTGCTAAAGGTCCTGTAGTCTGTTGTTAGCCCTCTTAGCTGAACAGCTGGAGGGGGACCGGGTGGGAATATCCTCCTGACGGTTACTGAAGTCGTTAGAAAAATCCAAAGGATTTTTCTTTCTTTAAAAATAAAACCCCGTGACTTCGGAGGTGGAGCCTAGCAAGGCAAGAGAAGAGAAGGGGGAAAAAAAAAAAGGAGGAGCAATTCGATTTTGCGAGAGAGCTCAGATTCAGTCGAATGTGGCTTCAAGAGCGGTGCGCAGAACTCCGTTCCAGCTGCAGTGCATGACACAGGAGGAGTTTTATTCATCTTCTTTGCCTTTCCCTGCCAGTGCAGGATTATCTTTTTATTTTTTCCCCCTCCCTCCCCTGCTGTCTTCTTTCGAGCTGTTAATTGCCCAGAGGAAGAGGCTTCCGTTACTTCCCATGGGACGCTATTTCATACCAAGATGTTCCTACTGATACTCGTCTTAACTTTTCTCTCCTGCTCCGTCCACCCTTTTGTTTCACGTTAGAAGGCTCCTCTTCTTCCTCATGTTTACGCAGCTCGAGTATCTGTGTGCCATGGGGCTCCCTTCCTTGTCATCACTTCCTTAACGCTGGTAATCTCTGCTCTGGTTGTTTGTCATTCCAACGGACAGCTCGGTTTTCTTGCTACCTGAGCTTTGTCTTGAGGCTTAAGATTCAATTAGTCCAGTTTCTCTGGAGCAATTACGCGTGCTTCAAGCTGGGATGGCCTCTAATCCGCTGTTCTTCTGCCTAAAACCACTTAGGTTGGTTGCACGTTCCTGGAAAGATCAGTGTCAGCATATCGTGGGAATCGGAATTTGACTGTTGGCTAAAGTAACCAAACCGAGAGCGTTTTAGTCGGTGAGATTAAACGTACGTGTTCAGCTCAGGGTTTGAGAAGGCAGTCTGAGATGCGGCGCTCCTGTGTTCCCATCCTGCTGTCCCTTGCGCAAATTAAATACGCAGGTAAATTAAATCTTTTGGCTTAAGGAGCTTTGCGACCTTAGAGAACAGCAAGCGAGGTGCTAAACTCACAGAGCGACTTCCTTCCCCCGGCAAGAACAGAAAGGACAAAATAATACACTCGAGTCTTAAAGCAACTAAATCTGCCTTCTCCACCGGACAAGATCTCGTTAGGTTGTTTATTACTTTTCACAGAACCTTCAGGTTTTGCGACGTGAAGCTTTAGCACCCGGAAGTCCTGCCTTGCTGGCGAAGCGAGTTGAGAATAGCCGGGGCTAAGCCCATTACGTGGCATTTGCGAAAGCTGGGAATTAACTGTAAATTTACCTTGTTGTCCTCTTCTCTTTTGTTTTTTCAAGATTACAGGTATAAAAAGGATGAGCTGTTTAAAAGACTGAAAGTGACGACTCTTGCCCAGTTGGTACGTATAGATTCCTCGCTGGCATCTGAAAATAATCTTCTATGAACAACATTTTTGCTTTATCTAAAGCTTCCTACATAGTTATGTATCATTTCCCTGTAATTCTTCTCTAATGGCTTCCTCCTGCCCTCAAATTTTTCTCGTAATGAAAGCAAACCGGCCAGTGTTTTTAGAGTAGTGAAATGCTTTTGGTTGAAAATTGAAGTTTGTAGCGACTCTGTCTTGGAAATTCGTTCCCCTTTTTTTTTCCCGACATTAACTTAAGAGGATCTTCAAGCCTTTTGTGAAAGAAAAGGGCTACATAAAGCAGCGTTCGAATCTGATCTCGTCGAGCTTTGCATCAGGTAGTCGTGGCCGGAAGCCTTCCCGAAGAGCAGGTTTAACTGCAGAAGATGCAGAGTTTGTGGCTTTGAGGCTTTCGGCCTCAAAATACTAAAAAGCGGAAAAATACTAAAAAGCGGAAAATTTGAAAAGTAAATAACGAGCCGTGTGTTGCTCCAAGAAAAACAGTGAAAATTAGAAAAAGACAAGCTGTCTTCTAAGGAGAGAAGAAAAGGGAAGGTTGAGCTTGCAGGCACCGAAGGAGTGGGTCTCTGCACACCTGTATCTTTAGCTCCTCTGGGTTGTTAAGACTGATCCTGTGACCCTCTGGTGTGATGAACTGATTTAACACGGGAATATCTCAGGTCTCCGCTCACAGACCAGTTAACCGTGTGTGGTTTTAGTGAGTTCCACAATGTTTCGGTCGCAGCCAAACTTCATAAATATCAGAAAACCTGCTGGTATTTGACCTTGCCAGCACTGGCTTTTCTTCATTGTAAGGCTGAAGGGTCATTTTTTTGGTACAATTTTTATTTAATAAAAGGACACGGTTGCAGTAGGAGTTGTGTTGAGTTAAACGTGGTTTGGCTCAAGGGTTGTTTTTCCTTCAGCTGATCCCCGCTGTCTTTCGTTGGCACCGGTGCTCACGTATCCAGGTATCGTTGCTTGCTTTTGTTTCCTTGCAGGTCATCCAGGTTGCCTCTCTATCTGATGAAACCTTAGAAGTGACAAATGAGGAGATCCACAAGCTGGAAGGTAACAATATTGATTGTAAGCACAAAGAGCAGGAGCTGGAGATCACTGTCAGAGGGTGAACTGTGTCCTGACAGATGCAGCAAATCTTTCGATAGGGAGCTAAAAAATAGCTCAACCTGTGGCCTGCAGCCGTTCCAATTTGGGAACAGAAATGCTCCTCGAACAGAGAGGCTTACAAATAAGAAAGGCCTCGTGCTGCCAGTTTTATTGTTGTAACTCGGTGTCATGCATCAAGAATTATTTTTTCTTGAATTCTTAAAACGACGTCTTGAGCCCTTCACAATCACGTGGCTCTTTGTCACTTTTAATAGGAGGCTCTCGATAAATCATCCTTATAAGAGGATGAAGATAAGGCTATCTTTAAGAGACACACTTTCTTCTAAGAATAGAAACTGGGCTTCAAACCCGCTTCTTTATTTCCTGCAGCGTTTTAACACTTTGTACCCTCTTCTCTCCCCAGATGTTTGTTCTGCTGCTCCAGATGCAGATGCTGAAGTCACAGCAGGGACAAACGGGAAGGGAAGCCCCGATGGGACACCTAGTCCGGTCCTGTTTGTAAACAACACGGGAGCTGGGGATTCCTATCGGTCCACACTGCAGAGGTGCCTGATAATAACACCATTTTCTTCCTGTCTTAGCAGATATAATTATTTTTATCCAGCTAGCTACCCTAAATTGATACTAAGTGGCTTTATATTGTATTTATCAGTAAAGCCTGATCTTTGCAGGTCCAGGGATGTGAGCAAGGGAAGGGATTGGCAGGTTTTCCCCTCCAAATGAGTTTGGCTTGAGGCTGTAACCCAACACTTGATGACTGTCTAAATGACTGATGAGGAATTATATCCGTGGGATTAATCCAGCTCCCTGGGTTCAAGAATACATGTTATAAACTGCTCTGGTGAACTCACTAATGTGCCTTCCTGATGTTCTTAATGGATTGTCCTGTGATTGGGAGCAAGAGTCCCATTTCCAAACCTGTTACAGCAGTAGCCGAGGTCAGAGGTATCAGGAAGATGCTGGAAGAGGAAGCTTTGTCCCAGCCCTTCCCTTGCTGTGCCTGTACAAAGGTTAACAGAAGAATTGAGATGCTAACCTGGCAGGCTTAGCGATCGTGTACCAAACCCATCAATTCAGCAACAGCTAAGAGTGTCTGGAGGTTTCTGTCCTGTGTCTAGTGATGAACTGGAAGTCCTCTGCTGCTTGTAGGTGACTGACAGCCCTTCAGCGCATCTGACTTGCCGAGATCACCGCGTTGGCAGCTTTAGAATTATTCTCCTTCACCTCGGGGTCGCTTAGGACATGGAATAAAACTCCTGGACTTGACTGATCCAGAAGAGTGCAGTATGTTCACATAGCAAGGCCGTACTCCGTTTATTTTTTGATAAGAATGAGATTAGTCTCTTGTGATATACTGGAAAGCCTGAAACAGGATCTCTCCTTTTTTACGCGGTGTCTGTCTGTCCTGGAACGTAAATGGGCTGTTGAAACCGCTGACAGAAAAACGCTCCAACCTGGCGAAGAGGTACAGAAGTCTTCAGAGAGAGTTTGCACCGTAACCTCCTCTTTCCTCTTGCAGCGTGATAAGTGGCGTTGGCGAAATGGATATAGAAAAGGACGCTCCGAAGAAAGCGGACGTTCCGGCTAAAGACACGCCTTACCCCGACTGCCCCTTCCTGCTGTTGGATGTGCGAGACCGAGACGCGTACGACCAATGTCACATTGTTGGAGGTGAGGAGGCCAGAATCCCACGGCAACCTGGGGTCAGCTGGGATCACCTCTGAGATTTTTATGTCTTAGTCTGGCTGGCTTTGGGGTTTTTGTTTCCCCCTGGGGTGGAAATGACTTGAGTTACAGCCCTCATCCAGTACACCCATCCTTCCTGGAAAGGACTGAGGAGACTGAGCTGATATTAATCCCTTATTCAGTGGGTTCTCAAGTGTGTTGAGCTCTTAACAAATCTGTGTCGATTGTATTCCAGGTTGTGTGATGGTTGGTGTTCAGCTGCTTCATAGGATTTTTCTCTATTTATTTTATTTTTTCTCCTCTGCAGCTTATTCCTACCCTATTGCCACGCTCTCTAGAACCATGAACCCATACACAAACAGTATTCTGGAATATGTATCCTTTACATATAAAGTAATGTATTTTTTTTAAAAAAAAGGGCGGAGGGGGGAATGTTAGTTGGGACTTCCAAAACCAATTGAAGCTGTAGCAGTCACTGTGACCAGGACAATGCTCAGCCAACAAAATCTGGGCATTTCTAGGAGGGTGGGAAGGGATGTCCTTTACGCTGACTGCGATTACCTGGTGAGACTCCGCTACCACCATCGGCTTCTAGTTCCTCAAGGCTGTAGCACCTCTTGACTCTGGAGGGACCTGCCTGAATTTGACATTTCTTGGGATTTTTGGCTGCTGGAAGGCAAAGCCATGCTTGAGCACCCGCCTGCCGCTGTTGCTGGAGCACTGGGCTTCTTGCGGGATGCGTCAGTGAAATCCTTCGGCTTCCTCTCAGCACCTTGATGGGGATTGTTTTATCTCTGGAGGACAGAAAGAGGATTACTAGCGGGGATTTGGCTGATAATTTCCCAGGGTGAGGGCTGCTGGAGAGAAGGGAGGTTGTAAATGAGGGTGCTTCTTGCTTTTTGCCTGTTACTAATGAATCTTCCAAACAGTGCTGGATGTTTGCTGCAGGGGCTCTGCTCCAGTGGGGGTTAGGCTGTGTCCTTCCAGCGTCTGGCAAGCCCCAGCTACTGAGAAACCAGTTTTTAATCTCAGGAAGATATCAAGTAGGAAGGGTCTCAGACTCCAGTCCCGTTTGTTCGAGTCCCTTCTTCTTTGTTAAAGCTATTAACGGTCACTTTAATCTTACAAATGAATCCTTAGCTCTTCTATCTCAGAAAAATGCACACGGAAAAATTATCATTTTGTATGACAACGACGAGAGGTTAGCCAGCCAGGCTGCCACCACCATGTGTGAGAGGGGCTTTGAGAACTTGTTCATGTTATCTGGAGGTGAGTGGGGATGGACAGGATGCCCCAAGATCTTGGATGGGTGGATGGAGAGCAGAGAGTAAGGGTTGTGTGAGCTGGAGATGGGGAGGAAAAAAAAAAGGGTATTCGGCTCTGTCAAATGTTTGGTGACTGGTAAAATCACCGACCCCATCTTAGCTCATGGTTACTGGTCAGCGTGTGATCTCTTTGCCCTCAGGCCTGAAGGTCCTTGCACAGAAGATCCCCGAGGGTCTGATCACTGGCTCGCTCCCCGTGTCCTGCCAGGTGGCAGCTCCCACCGGATCGGCCCGAAGAAAGACCTCCCCCAGAGTGCCACCCGCCCGTGCTGAGAATAAATGGAGATTTTCTGCAGATGACCTACAAAAGATCAAACACTACCTAGAAGAGGAACACATGCCTTCAGACACTGCCAGTAAGGCTTGAGCAGCTTTTGAGCCTGCCCTGGGGCAGCTCCCTGCTTTGCTACGTTCTCTCCAACTAGAAGAGAGGGAGGTTTTTTTCCTAAAGTATCTTAAGGTCCACCAAAACCTGTGCTATGCTGATCCCAGAGGACTTAAATCTTTTATAGCTACGTGCTGGCATGCTGAGGGTGGGCATAGAATCATTAAGCATATATCCTTGTGATCACTATATTTAAGTGTCTTTTAGCTTTTACTGGTGATTAGTAGGTTCTTCAACTTCTTTGCCTGGCATAGGTACATAGAGACTGCCCAGAACCCCTGGACACCGAATTATTCACAGGTTTTTTATATTTGCAGCGAGAGCTGGCGAGCCAGCAAGGGGCAGCAGATCGTTCGTGTGTCCTTGTGCTCCATCGTGCGCGCAGCTTCTGATCTTTAGGGGTTTTGTTTGTTTTTTATTTTTCCCCACAGGCCGTCTTAGCCGTGGTTCTTCAGGCCGTGATTCCAAAGCCACAACTGTGAGGAGCAGCCTCAATCTCCCCGGCACCGCGGGATCCCTCACCTCCCGCTCGCTCAGCGGGAGCAGCCTCCAGAGCAGGCCGTGGAAATAAGCGGCGGCGTCTCCTGTTGAATAAATGAATGTCCAGGTTCTGGGAACCCCGAGCAGTGCAGCCCGTTTGTCATTTTAGGAATCCACAAGAGAAAAGCAGCGGCGGCTCCGTGTAAACGGCGGCTCAGGTGAGGCTGGGTGAGCCGGAACGGTCGACGTTTTGTAGAAGCAGGAACGGCATCGCTTTGGCAAGGCTGACCTTTAGGCGCAACGTCAGGACAGAGTTGATCTAACTGATTTTCTAGGGGAGGGAGGAAACTGGTAGTAAAGCCCTGTGACCAGTAGAAACGCTTCTACAATTCTACCAAGCTTGTAGTTGGGGTGAATGGATTTGTGTCTGGATCACTCCTCCTGTGCTGTGCCCGGATCCACGGACTGCGCGAAAGGAAGAACCCAGGGAAAGGTAAAAATACACCAGAAATCATCTCCGAGCAAAAATTGTGATGTTTTGGAGCAGAGTTGAACCAGCCATTCAGCAGCTTGCCAAAATGTTGCAGAGGGAATTCTGTAAGTTGTGGGGTTTGGGTTTTGGTTTTTTTTTTTTAATTTATATTAATGAACAGAAATGTTTGTAATAAACGTGTTTTTGGAAATAACACCCGGTGTGACACTGTAACCTGGCAGTCGTGTTTCCTCGTGGGCAGTTTGTGAAATAATCCTGAAGCTGTGAGCTGGAGGAGAAAGTAACTTCTCATTTTCCCTCTCTTCTCCCTTATCTCAAAGGTTTGGTTTTTCCTGCTTTGATCCTTGCTGCGATTACAGAGAGCGACCGTGCGGTGGGTTTGGTTCTAAATGAGGCAGCGAGGCTGCCAGATGTGCTGAGCGGGGTTTTAGCTGCCGTGTCTTGGAGCAAAATCATCCGTTGTGCCCCTCTTCTTGGCGTGCAGGCAGAGTATCTCCTCACTTTTACTGTGGGATGGTGTTTGCTCCTTTTCTGTCTTGCCAGCACAAGTTGCGGGTCACTGGACCTAAAACTCCCCAAAACTACAACGGACATGGAGGAACCAGTCGCTCTTGTGCTGACAAGTCTTTTTTTTTTAACTTCCCTGATCTCTTACAGGCAGCTGCGAGTCGGGGTTAGGAAGCAGAATGTCATTTTTAATTTTTTTTTGTTTGTTTCATAAAATGCTTTTGTGATGCTTGGAGGCAAACTGTGTTGTTCAGTGAAGCAGCAAAGAGCTCTGCACTTCCAGTGCCTGATAGAGACTGGGGATTTATTCCCAGTTATGCCCTTGCTGGTGTTTTTGGAGTAATTTTAAGGTTATAGTGACTGAAGGGAAAATTTCTTCTGCCCTCTCACCAGGGCCCATGAATCTGGTAACTGTACAGTGGGTTTCATATGTTGCTTTTGGGGTTTTGGTGTTTGTGTGAGGTTTTTTTTCCTCCCTTTTTGAAGTAGACAAGTCATCTTTAACAGACTTAATGCAGATCATCGGGATAATTCTGACGAAAAAGCAAGGTGAGAGAGAAATCTTGCAGCATTTACAGTTTGGCAGTTTAAGACTCCGTCCTTGAATGCTTTTGATGATGCTGATGATGATGTCTCCACGAGTCTTAAATTAGACGAGAGCTGATACAGAGACTGATGGTTGCATTCGATGAGAGCCGTAACCTTAGTTTTCTCCAGAGCAGCACCAGGGGATCAGCACAAACCTCTGAGGCTGCGTCACGAAGAATAAAGGGGGAAATCAAGGGGCGTGGGGCAGAGCCAGCACTTCAAATGTACTGACCAAAGCACTCTGAAGAGCTGAATGCCCCCGTGTATAAAAAAACCCACAACAACACCAAGGAACCCCAACCAAAAAAACCCTAATGGGTCTGTTTGTGTCTTATTTTAGCCCATCCCTATGAAGCTGGATGCATCTCCCTGTCTTACAAACTGCTCTACTCCTCTCAGTCACACTTCTGGAAGACTTTTTGTTGGTTTAGCTGAAGGTGTGTTCATCTGGAGCAAAATTTCTTGTCCTCCTACGTCATGCTCGTTGGCTTTCCATGGAACGGCTGCATCACCTCTTAAGAAAAAAAAAGTGTTATTGCTCCAAGCCCAAAGTGGGAGCCGCTGGGACGTGGTTCTTGCCCCCGCCCTCCTTCACTCGCGGGCTTGGGAAGCTGACTCACCCCTTGGGGCTTCACTGGTCTAATAAAACAAATAAAAGCTAAATAAAGATTTTTAAATGATCTTATAAAAAGTACCTTTGAGTTGGGTACCAGCTGCGTGGGCTGATCTTGATGTCCTGAGCCTGCTACGGTGTGGCACCTCCCTGCTCCTGCTGGTCACGCTGTTCCTAACACAAGCCAGGAGGCCGTTGGCCGTCTTGGCCACCCGGGCACATGCTGGCTCATAGAATCACAGAATCCTG